CGAAGGACGTTTTTAGTAACTTTTGGTGTGGGGGGAAACTGATGCTTTAAACATGTTTTAGTGTCTGTTTTTTATAAAAGAAGGAACTCACTTCACCTGATAGAAGTAGGAATTGTTTAACTGGTCTGACTGACGTCACATTTTCTGGACTTTAGCTTTTATAAAACGGGGATCTGCAACATAAAGTTGCTCTGATAAACTTTGGAGGAAAATCGTAAATTCCTGCATTGAAGCTGTCGGTTAATTTTAATTCCTGAGCTGTTGAGTGCTTTTCTCAGATTTGCAATCTGTAACGGTACCAACGTATGCGCATCCTGGGTGGTCACATTTTTTGTTCTCTATGCTAATTTTTTAGTTATTTTTTTTTTAGAAAGGTGCACTTTTTTTAAGTTTTCTTGCTCTTTTTGTAAATATAAACTTTACACACTGCACGTTGCTTTATGGTAGCATCCACATGTGGAGATGCCAAAATAAAACCACTAATTCTGCCTGAATGAGCACCGAACAAGCACAGTTTGTACTCATCATCTGGGGATGCATGCGTGGAGTCATCTAGAAGAAAAGCGGTGTGTTACGGTTTTGGCTCTACTTTGATATATATATTTTTTTTAAAAGAGAAAAGCCTCAGAATGCTTGAAGAACTTTTTGAAGGAATTTATAATGCTGGCATGCCTGAGTTTGTGCTGTGTGTGTGTGTGTGTGTGGCGGGGGTGGGGGGGAACAGATTGTACAACGAATGTTCTGGTATCTGTTTGCCAAAAAGAAAAAAAAAAAACTCAGATGACAAACGTTTTTGTTTACAAGATATAATTTTTTTTTCACGTGTCAAAAACAAAGCAAATAAGTCTAATATATTATTAGAAAGATCTAAAATGTGTTGTAACTTTACCTGGTTGGATTTTTGTTGTCACAACTGGAAAGCCTCACTTATTTGTTTGCTTTCCAATGACAGATTAAAAATGAAAGTGTTTGTCTGTGTGTATTTTATATCGGTACAGTTTTAACACACACTGCTGTTAAAATCCCATTTACTGTAGAATTCAACTTTAAAATCAAATCTGGTAAAAGAAAGTGTTAAAAGTTAAGAAGAAAATGTGAAATCTGTTTAATACCTTGTTGAAGCACCTTTTAATTCAGTTTCAGCATTTGGTGTTTGGTCATAGTGTATCAGCACATAATATCTTCACTTATCAATATTTGATTCATTAATCTCACAAAAGTAATCCATACCAAATTGTGAGGATCTCTCTTATCCACAGCTCTCTTTAGGGAGACTTGGTCATTCGATTTTTAACTTTTTTTTTTTTACTTTAGTTTGATCTGTGCTTGGTCTCACTGTAATGCTGAAAATGAAAACCCAGGTATCTAGCAGAAACCACACGGTGTTGGATCAAAAGTCGTGAGCATGAAGCTCCCACCACCACGTTTCAGTTTGGATGTTTGTTCATTTCCCGTGTTGAATGTTGGTCAGCGAATACAGAAAAACGTCAATCCTTTGCTTTTAGCGACACAGCAGTTGTGAAAGCAGGTCAAACCGTCAGTATAACGTAAAGCAGCTACATAAGCTGCCCTCAAAGGAGCACCTAGCAGAAAGCTAAGAGGCATGAAGAAGAAAACTCAGGTCATTGATTGGTGGAGTTGAACCTTCTTGTTCACAACAAAAATAAACAATGGAGCAGCAGCCATTTTTTTTTTTTTTTTTTTGCAGACTTCATGTTTTTGTTTTAACTTTGTCAAAATCTGAAAGATGTTAACATAAATTTGTGAGATTGAGGCAAGCAGCAGCCTGGCTCCTGTTAGTTCACCAGCTCTCTTTTGGTTTACTGGGCAGCCTGTTTGCCAGCAGACCAGACCACTTATCACTTGCAAGATAATTGGGATGTTTTACATTAGGCTGAAGTTTAACTGAGGTCCCACCTCTGGGTAAATGAGGCAGAACATTTGAGGAAAAACATCGTGTTCAGCTACAGTATTAAAAAGCTCCTTTCATTGAAGCATGATTCTCCAAGGCTTTGAGAGATTTTATCGACGATATTGATTTTTTTTTCTTCGAAACAAAAACTTTTTTCAGCCTCCTTTTTATTAATTTTGGAAAAACATCCACTTTCTCTTTTCTCACTTTTTCCACATTTTCTTCAGTTACTGATTGCAGTTTTACAGTGTCTTATAGATAAGGCTGTGAAATTGTTTCTTCTTCTCCTGATGATACCTTTGTACAGTGAGATCTTTTGTTGGGGTCTCTGTGCAAACTAGTTCTAGTTGAGATCTCTGCTACCTGTAACTCTGGAGCTGAACTGCCCTTTGACCTTCCACTATGTCTCTTCCGTAATTTGGCTGAAACAGTGCAGAACCAACAAATTTTTCTAAGATATAAATGTAACATGCACCTCTAGCAGCTATTTTAGTTTTTTTTTGTGTGGAATAATTCCTGCATTACACATAAATATTAATAATTGTTTTTTTTGTGGATATTTTTTGTTTAATTTTCCTCTTACATCAACTTCCCATTGAGAAAATGTTAATTCTTTCTTTTTTTTCTTTTTTGCAAATGTTTTATGTTGTAATGGTGGTTCCTTAAAAATGACCACACATTTCCTATTGTAGATATTTTTAAAAATTAAGTTCTCTTTTCACAAATGTAACTTTTGCAGATCAAGACAAGTTTTATCTAGCTGAACTGAGGGGAGAAAAATGGCTCTTTGGTTTGTAAACACGGCAGAACCCTACTCTAATTAAAGGAAGTACATTCCTGGAAGATCTTATAAGAGTTGCACTTTGAAAGTTTTGAAAAGAATTGACCAGCTTATTGCATTTTGTTCAAAAGGTTTTCAACTTGAATTGCACAGAATATCACCCTAAAGGTAGAAAAAGCGTTAAAATGTAACGAGGTTTTTGTTTAACAGGATCAAGCCACTGAAAATCTCTACTCCATCTCTCATCGCGTGACTCTTTTTTTAACTTCTGAAGCTCTTTTCTTTATTTTTTTAAAATCTCCCTCAACATACTCCAGTTTTTCAATGCTTTCTCTTCCTTTCAATATTTTAAGAGGCGGAAATGTTGAAGCAGAACCCTGGACCCTCAGGCACATTTCAACAACGGGCCAAAGTTCTGAGTGCTTTTATAGCAGAGAGAACCGTTTCAGCCCCTGGCTTCACATGATCTGCACCCGCTCCCATTAAAGCATTTGTTCTTGGCTCTGATTGTGCGTCAGGTTGGCTTGCTCCCTCTTATTACCAGGCTGCATACCCGCCCACTCTTCCATGTTGGCGTTCGCCGGAGCAGCTTCGTTTTGAAATCCCATTATGTCACCAATTGGATTTCGACGGAGCTCTTTAGAGCCGTCTGGCTGAGCTTCTAAACCAGCTTTGAATTAAGCAGCTCTTCTGGTTGCAGTCCTCAAGATAAACAAAATGCTTTGACAAAAGCTGCTCATTGATATGGAAACAAATTAAGACAAAGAATTGGTGAGAATCAAACAATTATCAAAAAAAGCTGGGAGGCTACTTGATTGTTGTGGTTTTTGTGTAGCTCATGAAATTCAGTCAACTCTTTAGTTTTTTCCAACAAGTGCCAAGCTGTCATTTCTGTAAAAAGACAAAGTTATGCTTTGGATTCCATCTCCCCTGAGGTCTCCTTTTCCCCACACCAACATCTCCGGTTTCTGGTTCTGGACAGATGGTTTGAAATAAAGAGTATTTACAAAGGCATTAGGGTTAAGAAACCCTGCCCTCTTCTTGCTGCTTAGCTCTGCAATGAATCACTGGGAACGATCAAAGCCGTGCAGCTTCAGTTAAAGGATCAGTTCACTCTGTTGTCCTGCTGGAGATGTGATTTTGCTGGGGCGGTAACTGATCCTAAGAGACACGGAAGAAGTGACAGAGAAGTAACAAATGCAAGAGGCGAAAGTTTCTTATAAACCAAAATGTTTCACTCATTTCTAACAAACGTATTTTCTCCTGTCCTGTGAAAAATGATTTGCCCCAGTAATGATTTTTTTTTTTGTTTTTTGCCACATTTAAATGTTTCAGACCATCAGATTTTAATGTAAGAATTTATCAATAGTGAAATCTATAAAATTAGACCTGACACTATGAGTAAGAGTGTGTTTGTGTTCGTTATCTTAACTGGATTTAAGTCTGGACTTTAAATAGGCCACTATAAAACCCCTTTTTTTTTCTTATTTTTGCACTTTTTTCTTATTTTTGCACCACAAACTTACAATACATGCATTCCAATTGATCTAACGTATCAATCAGTGCAGTTAGCTAAAAGGGTTTTCCATCTTTGGAAACCCAGCAGATTGCATCGAGTCATTGACTTGCAGCATTCACTCCTCCTGGACGAGCATGTAAGGCCAGCCAAAAATTGCTTGCATTGAGTCGTTGACGTTACACTTACAGTAATCCCTCATACCTAGCATGCATGTGGTGACAGTGAGAGGAAAAAGCTTCCCTTTAAACAGGAAGAAACCTCGAACAGAACCTGGGTCGGTACGAGGAGCTATCTGCCACGACACCGACCGTAACCGAGGGAAGTGAAGATTGATGCGTCTTCGTTGTGTTTCAGCCTGAATAGTTGGCTTTAAGGGCAAGTCTGGCAGCGACCAGACTTGTAAAATTTGCAGATAATGAAAATAATTTATGATTTAGCAAAAACACCAGAAAGTCAGTCTCTGAATGGCTCAAAACAATCTAAAGGATATTTTGGAGTGACCTAGTTAAGGTTAGCTAAGGTTGAAATACTGCAGCATCACCTTAAACAGGCCATTCAAACTGGAAAACTCTCCATTAAAACTGAATGTTAGCAATCTTGCAATAAAAGATGGGACCCAATATCACTCATTCCCAGTTATCAGAAACACTTTATGGATGGTGATGCTGCCAACGGTATCATTATCAGTTATTGGGTTTAGGAGGCAATTAGTTTCTCACTTTCAGCCAGGTTGCAAAACATTTTCAAAGAACTATTATTTTGAAATCAAGTAAATAAAGAATGAACCATTTGCAAAAAATGTTTACATTTATTTGTCCTTTAGGTTCATTTTCAATATGACCCTTGCATTTTAATGGCCACAGTGTGTTATAACCATATAGGCAAATAATCATTTTTGGGACATAGATTATTGAATATAAACATCTGTACTGGCGGCGTAACCCATGAACACATACTGTACATTTCATTTATATATCACTGCTGCAAGAGAATCTGTCAGAGTTCACATTAGTGAAGAAGCACTTGGATTCACAAAGCCCAACATGGATATTAACTCCCAACTGACTCGTATTAATTAATTGCATGACAAATTAAAATGAGTTCAATAAATTATATTCTGATGATTAAGAATTTTTTTAAGGAGAAAATTTGTTTATAGAGACGTCGTAATCCATTTTTTTATGGTTTCGGCTGAGTGTGTTTTTTTATTTTTATTTTAATGTTTTGGGTTGTTTTAAGTTGGATATTTAAAATGTATTTAAGTTCCAGTGTTAAACTTTACTGTTTACTGGCCCTCAAAAAGGCAAATTTGCATTATAATTTTTTATTATCAATATGTTTCTCAAAAACAGCAACTTTATCATTTATCGCGATCATTACTGAGACAAATTAGCGAAGTTAGTTTTGTGACAGGCCTAATTGGATGTGCAGATTTTTTCTTGCGTCATTCGATCATAAGGTCCTGAAGGCGTGACGGCAGCTCATCCAATGTCACAACCCGGTGTTCCTGAGGAACAGCGCCTTCTTTGTGCGAGTTGTCTCTGTCTAAAAGGAAGCCGTGGATTCCCACAGAGCGAGATGCGAGGTAATCATACACATAGTGGTCCCCAACATGAGCCACTCTGTCAGCGGATGTGCCACATTTCTGGAGGGCCTGATGAAAGATGGCCGGGCTGGGCTTCGCCACGCCGGCCTCCTCCGATGTAACCACAAAGCTAAAGCTCGACAGCAGCCCGCAGCTGCGTAAAATCGTTTCGAGGCGATTGTCAAAATTAGACACGACGCCCAGCTTCAGTCCAAGAGAGGAACATCGTTCAAGGGCCGTCTTGGAGTCTCGAAATACCTGGAAAAAAGATCACGTGTTTCTTCATTTTCAGGAATTTTCTGCATTGCCTGACTATTCTAATAATTAACAAAATGGATGGATGCACTTTTATTTATTTACTTTGTTTTATGTGCATAAAGGTGCCAAATGTTGCTTACCTCCCATTTTTCTGCATTGCAGAAATCTTGGTAAAGATTGTTAGCCATTGTGTTCAGCAGAGCTGGATCATTGACTTTGCACTCAGCCAGAGTGTCTCGCATGACTCCTATCCACCAAGTCTGTCCGGTCTGACCCTGGGAGCTGCCATAGTTTGGGTATCTGCTGGAATAACGCCGATACGTCTCCTGAAAAGCAGCGTTGATCTCTGCAGGATGCAGGCTCAGGCCCCATCTTTCAGCCTCCTTGGAGTAATGGTCTCCCACAGACCCCCGCACCTTCAGCAGGGTGTCTTTAATATCCCACAACACCCACTGCAGAGGAACTCTTGGCATTACAGCTGCACAGATATGACAGAAAACACATCTTAACTGAGCAAAATAAAGGAAAGTGGAGCCCATAAATATTCCAGTGAAATGTAAATAAGTTAAAAAATGATTTCTGGTTGTTAATTCTGCAAAAATAAACTTCTGCAGCACATCTTGGGTCTTGAGGAAACTCCAGAAATTATAATATATAATTCATGGTTCATTTTTTTTTTATGTCTGTCTGGCAAGAGTAAAACTACATAAGAACAATTGGGGAATATGAGTGCAGAATGAAAGTATTTAGTAGGTGCAATATTCTGCAACAGGTGAGCAGTGGAGATTCTCTTAGATAACTTTACAAATCCACCATACTGTTGAAAAGGCTTTGCTTCACATCCCTTTGAAAGCTGCATTAGTGAGAGCTGCTGTTGCACAACATAGTTTGTTTTACACCAAAATTTGAACAGTGAGCTACTTTAACAACAACTTTTTGTGATGTTTGTGTCAATGCCTATCTGCTGGATAATGGCAGGTTTGTGTAGGTCCTAACATTTCTATGTATTTATATATGTGTTATGTATAGGCTATAGTCGTCATACTTTTTGTACAAAGAGTTTCACTTTTTGACTTCAATGAATGATATACACTTTTTATATTACACATATAAACGATTCATCTGTATAATATTGTATAAACAGCAGTTTTAGTCCAGATGCAAAATTAAGTTTTACAACAATATTTAAGAAAGAGAACCCTCCCAACAGGTGATGCTTGTTCAGTCCTTTTCTAGTTGTACTGTTATGAAATTTAACATGCTAATTAAGATCTTTTTTCCAAAACACTGTTTGACTTTAAGGTAAATGTTCTGGATAAATGGTCCAATGACCCATCATTGACTGCCTCTCTCAGGTAATTCCTATTGTCTTTCCAACCTGACATTGTGCTAACATTAACATGTTTTATCCAGAGTAGAGAACTGCTGAAACTTCTGCTCATTTCTCTTTTGAATCCTTTGGATGTGCGCTTGAGGTTAGTTTTAACTCACTGTTTTGAACATGTACAGACCTGTTCATGTGTAATAATACCGAATAGACTGTCTACCTTGGAAAACAAAAAAAAAAAAAAAAATGATTTTAATAAATTAACCACCCGTCTAGAAAAGCCGCTTTGACCTTGAAACAACGTGCAAAACATAAACAAGCTCAACTCCACCAGCCTGATATGTGATAAGGTAGTTATTTTTTTTAACAGCAGCTAGCGAAAGAAAGCTAATTTTCTCTGCACCTGTGCTCAACCTTTGAAGATGTGTTTTAGAGCATCACCAACACTTAGCACAACTTTAAACATTACCGAAATAAAGTCTCCACGATCACCTGCAGGTTTTAAGCGAGATTAGATATCCTTCCCTTCCTCATCCTCTTCGTCTTCTCTCCATTTGCCTCACTCTGTGACGATCGAGCTTCTGCTGCCATCTGTTGGCAGTAGCAGATATAACGAGGCATTTATTTTACATTTTGTATTTTCTACGGACAACAATACCTTATTTCTCAACTTCCAGGACTGAAAGATTTATTTAAATAATAACCATGCCAACTACAGTCATTCTAAATTCATATGTAACCTTTTATATCAGCACATAGTTTTTTGCATACATCCACTCCAGTAGGAGGCAGTGTACAACAAGCGACCAAGACGTTCAACCAGCTTTGTGTACGCATGCGCAAAGGTTCACGTGTGAGGACGGCTTGCCCTGAGGACAACAAACATCTTATTGCTACTAAGTATTAAATAATGTAATTTATTTTAGGTGAAATGAGCTGAATCCGCGCTGTCGCCATGCGGAGTCCAGCTGTGCGAATGTTCCACAGGTTAGAGGGTCTGTTCTGCGTCTACAAACCCGCAGGAGTGCACTGGAAGCTAGTGAGGGACACCATCGAGACTAATCTTCTGAAAGGTGAGATTTGTAATGATTCGTCTCGAGAACAATCTCCGTCCTTTCTCGCAGTCACTTTATATCAGAACTTGCAGTAAAGCTGAATAACATGTGGAGCGCCCGTGGATGTGTTGTCCTCAGGTTTGAACGATACACCTGCTCCGCCTCTCACTCATGAAGTTCGCTTCTTACCAAACCCAAACAACGAACCTAAAGCATCTGGAGGACTCATGCTGAGGCCAGTCTCTGTCCCCGTCCTGTCCAAGCACCCTCTGGGTATGTCGTGTGTTACATATTTAGGCAATCAGTGAGTTAGATTATGTCTAACTGTCTTTGATGCACACCACACGACCAATTATTGACAGCTGATATCTTACAGCCAGGGCCAGATTTACAAGGATGTGGGCCCCTGGGCTGGGGACAGTTTTGGTCCCCTGTCCTCTAAAGAAGAAAAAAAAAATGCAATCCAAATTTTAACAAATTAATAAGTTATCCTACAGATCAGTATGAACTGATGCATGTTAGGCTTAACATGTCCCTTGTCTTCCATCTCCATGTTGAAGTTAACTAGAACTTTGTGATTTTGAATTGCATGAATATTGTTTTTCTTCACAAAAATCTCCAAACTATTAACACAACTCACTGGATATGGGTCTAACGAGTATTATATAAAGTACTATTTTTCCAAAAGACACATTTATTAATACAAAAATAAAAAAAAAATCTTTTGGGTCCCCCCAAAAATCAGGGCCCTGGATTGCTGCCACTGTAAGACCTTTCTAAAGTCTGACCCAACCTGCAACTCTTGGATGCGTCTTTTCTCACCTCATTCAAACGGCTGAATCCCACCACCCTGGTAATAAGCCATTCATTTGATTCAGATGTGTTTGAGAAGGGAGGCATCTAAAAGTTGCAGGAGAGAAGCTCACCAGGACTGAAGTTGGCCACCCTTGATGTACGCCATATGTATTCTGGTTTTAGTGGCTGAGACTTTAAAGCTCACAGCAGATGAGAAGAGGGTGTAATGATGGAAAAGAGTGAGAAAAATATGGGTTAATTGTAATTGATGTCATTGCTATATTCAGCTCTAGCATCATGCAGCCCCTGTAAAATCACATCTTCCAATGTTTTAGTGACTGGACCTGAATTCCAGCATCTCAAAGTTGGAGTGGGTCACCGCCTGGATACTTCATCTTCTGGTGTTCTTGGTAAAACTTTACTCCCAATACATACAACAAAAGTTTATCTGTTGAAGAAAATGCCAGAGCAGTTATTCAGCTTCTGTTCTTGCAGTTTTGGCCGTGGGGAATGGGAACAAGATCCTGAACGATCTCTACGGGATACAAACCACAAGGGTAATTTCACACCTCTGACTGTTCTACCTTATACGTGAAATTATGTACTTAAGTTAAACTTCTTGGGCAAAGTTCAATGTTTGGTTCTGATTAAGGATTACACACTGGAAGGTGAATTTGGGATGGCAACACATGATTTTACTCACACGAGTCGAGTTGTGGAACGATCCACTTATGGTAAGAACTTTTTTTTTGGATGCAAATAGTTTCTTAATTTAACCCATAAGGCAGTCCTGTGTTTTTTTTTTGTAAAGAAATCAGATTTTCATTAGCTTTATTTTTTGTATTAAACACATATTAAGTGTTGTATGTATGCTGTATCTGTAATAGTATTTGGTTGTATTTGTCCTTAAACACGATCTTGTTCATCAGATCACATCACTCAGGAGAAGATGGAGAGAGTGCTAGCCATGCTGGAGGGAGCCAATCAGAAAGCCCTGAGAACGTAGGCAACCAACTTCATTTGCATGACGCGTAATAATTTAGGCCATTGCAAGGAACAAAATTATCCTGCAGATAATGACTGTTATTATCCCTCACAATAGGTATTCCAGTGTAGACATGAACTCACAGGAAGCATATGAGCTGGCTGTAAAAGGCTTGTTGGGTCCAGACGGGAAATCGGTTCCTATTTTGACAGGCTTACGATGCATTCGCTTCCAGCCACCGCACTTCACCTTAGGTAAACTCAGCTAAGCGTGAGAAATATCGAATCCAAGATTTATTTCTTCAGTCCCTTTGTCTCGCATGACACGTCATGTGCTCTGCCTTTCACAGAGGTGCAGTGCCTGAACGAAACGCAGAAATATTTGCGCAAAGTCGTGCACGAGATTGGACTGGAGCTGCGCAGCACGGCGGTGTGTAAGGGAGTGAGGCGGACCAGAGACGGCTTCTTTACCCTGCAGGACGCTCTCACGCGTAACCACTGGTCGGCTGCTGACGTTCTGCAGGCTGTTCAGAAATACAGCTCAAAAAAGAACAACAACAAGAAGAACAAGAGCTCCGGGACTCAAACTGATAAAGCGATGTTACAGACATCTGAGGAAACGCTCGCAGTCTCTCAAGAAAACAAAGCTGATAAGGAAGGAACAACTGAGGTGCAGTGTAACTGAGCTGATGGGTGATTAAAGAAATAAAAGTGAACTAAAATAGTGATATTTCACAGCTCAGTTAATAAAGAAATTTTACTATCGAGGTCAAACAAGGGAAATGCTCCTCAAATATATTGGGCTAATATACAAATGTGACTCTGTGGTTGCCGGCCAAGGTTTATACCGAAGTCCTTGAGAGAATTAATATTGTTAACGTTTTGGTTGTTTATGTAAATCCTTGTTTTTCAGTTTTGGAATGAAGAGGCTTGAGTGATTTTTCTAAGACAAAAAAGGTGCTCAAGAGTTTTCCCTAACATGTATGTGGTCAAACTTATATGAACAGACTCAAATACATGCTACACAACTGATGTATTGAAGTTTGTTCAATGGGCGTCTCCTCGACCGCCAGGTTTCATACTCTTGAGGAGGACTGATCTGGAAAAATGTGGCACCTGCAGCTTAAATACAAACCAAATAACTGAAAATGTCCCAGTTTCACTTCTTGGGAACAAATGTGATCATGCAAGTTAAAGTCGAACAGGGGGACAGACCTGCTAACGTGTCTCTTCTCCGTTTGGCCACTAAATCCCTTCAAACAACATCTTAAGAGTTATTGTTTTATTTACACGCATCAGTTCTGGATGCTGCTGAATCCAGTGAGTATTGAACAGATCCTCTTCATGCTGGCTGTGTGTGATCAGTCAGCCACCAAGAAGTTTTCAGGCCTTAACGTGTCATTAAAGAAAATCAAAACCTGCAGGAGCGTTTATTAAGTATTAGGTAAATGTATTTAATCCTTTTTGTATCAGTTCAACCCTTTTGGATTTGAGGAAATGAACAGAAATTACAAACGTGAATCTATAACTTGTTTCTAAGGTTGATGCATAAACGTCACAATGAGGAATAAGAACGACTCCCATCAATTAGTTGAAGGCTGACGATCATGTCTGTGATGAGTTTAGTGGGGACTTTACTCAGACTTGCATGAATTACATGTTCTGACTCTGCAAATTTATTTCAGCAAATATTTGTCGAAGAGCAGCCATGTCTCTGACTGTGGTGAAAGTTTTAAGTGCCAAATGAGAACATGATCCATTAATAAAGCCTAAATACAGGATGCACAGGTTTATTACCACCATTTATATCGATTTTACTCTTTCCATTGCTTGTAAAATATATGCTGTGCTCTGAGGAAATACACTCCCCTTGTATTTTGTTTGGGATGTGGTTATACCAGTCATCTCAGAGTGTGCAGTAAAGATAACTTACTGGTTTTTCAATGAGTGTGTTTTTGTTTTAGTGTGCCCTGTCTGGCTGGCATTGTGGGACCCATAATGGTCTGAGTACCAAGGTGTGGCCCGATAGATTTTCTTTCACAGGTGGAGCATTACGGCTTTCACTGTTTTGCTCCACTTCATTAGAAATTGATTTGGGTTTATTTCAAAAGTAATGGAAAGGGAGGAAGTCAGGAGAGGGAAGGACAAAGAATGGAAACCAACACCCCATAAGTCTGCTTCTACACCTGCAGAAAGAGAAAAAAATATTGCAACACAACATGTGCATATACGATAACAAATATAATTGAAAAGTAAACACAGTACAAGTTAATACAATGGCAACTGCAGTCCAGTGTGGTGTGTACCTGAAAACACCTGAATCTAAACATCTGTGTGTGTTTAGGTCCACTAAACACTCACCTCCACAGACCCTCCCCCAGGATCTGAGGCAGATATGAGGAAGACTGGAGCCCTCAAATGTACTCGTCTGATTCCTTTTGATTAGGCAGCCAGCCAGCTTTCTCTCTCTGTATCTTTTACTAGAGATTTTTTTTTTCAGTGTCTAAACATTTCCATGAAATCATTTGGTTACTTGTGACAGATAAGGCTGTTATTCAAATTGGAAAAAGAATGAAAAATGGTTTTCCTACAACTAAAAGTATGGAAAATATTGTGAAAAAATATTGGTATTTTCTGGTTTAACTTTCCCACCGTTTACCCATTTGTCTATTAAAACGTCCCTCTGTCTGTTTGTGGTTTTTGCAGATTCCTTATTTAAAGCTTCACCACTGCAGGAACATATGCCATAAATCATAACATGCAGGAGGACTGGTAACCCTGACAATATGTGCTGAAACCCTAAGTGAGTGCAGGAGAATCTGCAGAACGCGACCTCACCGATAAATTAATTTGCTTCATTTTGCTCCAAAACTGACAGCAATTTTCCTCTCAATTCGGCATTTCTCAGAAAACCGTTCGCATAACTGAGACAGTATGAACTTTAGCTGGCGAGCAAATGTACCATCTAAAGTTAGTGCCAGTCATTAAAATGAGATCTGCTGCAATTATCCGTGACCTCTGTTTATGCTGGAGGAGTTCATCTCTGCATTTATGTTCCCAGCTGAACGTCCTGCGGGAAGTTATGAGGTTATTGCCGTGGCGCCATTGTTGTCATGCTGCTCATTGAAGGACTTGTTGTCCCCCTGGGAACACAGCCTTCTTTGTCAGTCTGGAAGAACACAACTCACTTGAGGACACAAATTAGGTCGGCAAAGCAGACAAATTGTTGAAGTGGGAGTTTATTGAGAATAGAACATGAGATTAGAACAATTTTGTTGTGTGATTGATTGCGTCTCCGGGTTTCTCATCGGCATGGGTTATGTTGGAAATGCACATCAGTGTAATAAAAAAAACAAAAAACAACATGCTACATTTGGACTGAAAATTATTTTTACAACCACTGCTTTTAATCATAGAGGGAATGAAATAAATTGATTATCTGAGCAACCTGGCAGCTGGGACCACTGCAAGGAGGATGTATGCCAAAAATATTATTTAAAACACAATTCAGAACAGAGTTTATGAGAACAAATACAAGAAAAACTGGTTCTTTTCCACATGCAACAGAACCCTGATCAGAGTAAACATCTTACTTAAAAATGTACACAATAAAGCATGGAAGTGAGGACATCCAAACTCTGCTAAAGGAAACTTTTCTCAACAGAAAATCTTGGGACTACCTCAATATAAATATGGAAGACTTCTTAAACTTAAATTCTAACAAGACAAAAAAGAACCCAGAGACCCTTGATGCACAGTTAAATAACTCTTAAAATTCCCTTTAACCCCATACAACTGAGTTATAAAAAAAATTTGAAAGCCCATTACTTACTTTTGTTGGATTTGTTTCATAATAAAACCCCCATTCCACATAATACAAGCGATTACAAGAAAGATAAATTAAGTTCTAGCAACTTTATAAACCATCTTGTTAGGTACAGTCTACTCAGGAAATTGTTTCCACTATTTGCAGGATATCACCTCTTGCTTTGTTTGTGAAACAAGCGCATCTGTTCAGCAACATTTTGAGCTCTTCCTCTGCGCTGGCTCTTTGTGTAAAACGGTGACTTCCTCTCTCAGCAGGTCAGCTCTCTGACTCAGCATCCTGCCAACAACAGGGCAAAAGCACAACCAGTAAATGTCACAGCACTGACTGGTTTTCTGCAGTGCGCTGCACAACTATTGTGTGCTACTTGACAAACTGGCATTCCTTGTGAAGTGTGGAGCAATAAAGATATGAAGTTTTATTCTGTTTTTGCAAATAAAAATGTTAGAAGTGCGTATTTGTGTTCAACGAGAGAGCACTTGTGAAAATGCAGTTTCATGTTTTGCCAGAACCTTTTAAGTGAACTTTTTTTGAGGCAATTGTTTTTTTTTTTTTTTTTTTTTTTTTTTTTTAAATAACAGACTAAGAGGCAAAAGTTAAGTAAAGGAAGAACAACACACAGTTTTTCTCATGTGTTTATTTAGTAGCTTTGCGCTACTGGAAGGTGAACTCCTACCACTCATGTTTTCCTGCTTTTTACAAGTTTCGTTTAAAAATCGGCATAATTTTTGTCCCACTACAGAGAAATGCTCTACTTTTTGTTGATCCGTCACATAATATCGACAAAAAAAATATATTGAGGTTTGTGGCTGGAACAAGCTCAAGAACATGAACACTTTTATAAGAAGCTGCATGTTGGATTAAAAAAAAAAAAAACACACCCACACACACGTACGCACACACACACGTATTACCTGGCCACTGCCTCCAAAGCCTCTATCACATTTTCACCTGTGGCAGCGCTGCACTCCATGAACTCAAAGTTATATTCCTGTTGAGAGAAGAAGAAAAACTCATTTTTAAACAAACCCAATAAAGTTACTGGTTGGAATTCAACTTTTGCAGAAAGAGATTTTAGAAGTGGTACCTTAGCAAGGATGTCCCCCTGCTCCGTTTTAACTTGTCGCTTTGCGTGTTCGCTTTTGTTTCCCAGGAGCAAAACAGTCACGTCTTCTGCAGCAGCTTCCTGCAACGCATGGATTATTTTGATTAGTATTTAAGCTGCAGTTTTCATGTTTTTCCAGATCGGTCCATCTCAAGGGAAGGGCCAAATACCTAAGACATTTGGCTTCAATAAAGTTTAAATCCTAGATTAACTGTACCCTGGTGCTGCAGGTTTTTTTTTTTATTAAGTTACTAACAAATAAATATATCCAGAACAAAATCCACTGCTTTTAACATGAGTATGAATATGCTTTATGGGACAAACAACTCTCTATTCACCAAGAATTAAAAAAAAATCAGATTAAAGAAAATATTTTGTTTATGGAAGAAGCCATTTCAGACTAATGTTGAAAGTGTTTTGTTTTTTCTTCCTCTTAAGAGCAAAACAAAAATATAAACACAGATGCTGACCACAGCAGTTTCAGTAATGGTGAAGCAGGAAATAGCAGAAGTGGAGGTTGGTTACCTGAATGGAGTTAGCCCAGTAGCTGACCGCCGAAAAACTTTGAGAGGAAGTGATGTCATACATCAAGAGAAAAGCCTGGGCTTTGTGGAACACTTGTCTGGTGATGCTGTGAAACCTTTAGAGATAGGTAAAAATGTCATGAGTGACATTTCTTCCTTAACTTTGACAATAAGAGATCAGTGACAGCCCAAGTAATCCACACATACTACAGAATTGTAAGACATCAGCTCATAAGTGATGTGCAATAAAGATGAATGGCAAAAGGAACACGTTTTGAAAACTGCAAAAAGGCAAAGGAAGTCAAGAAACTAAGTGAAATTGTCTCCAGACGCTTCGAGATTCAAAGACAATTAAATTTGGTCAAAATTGAATCTGAGCCATGCATGCGACTGATGTCTGAAAAGCTTTGATACAAATTCCCTGTCGCATCCCACTTTATTTCAAATAATTTATACCATCTGGTGTGAATCCCATGTTGTTAGGCCCATCATGAATACATTTGTGTTTATTTCTTATTGCTCCAGCATTGTTAATTTCACATGTAGTGGGGAAAAATCTTGTGCTTTGTGTTTGAACCATTTCAAAGTAAACGTGGATCCAAAACTGCTTCCACCAAAACAAAAACAAAAACAAAAAAGCACATCAGTCAGAATGTTTTAAGTCAAGTTATTGAAGTGGCACAAAATGAACTGGGGGTGGAAACTCTGTTTCCAAGAAAGATCCGTTGGACCAGTTCTGACAAAAATTTGACCTGAAGGAGAAATCTCAAACACTTCTGAGCACAACGTCTTGTACTGGTTCAGGAAGGCTGTGAGTGTGACTGTCTCTGCACTTACAGACTGTTATCTGCCTGAACGTTGAGAAAACAACATGCTGCTTTCAAACGGGGACAACAAGACAAACTGTACTCCACCACCAGAGAGCCAAAAGCTGTGTTTACCCAGAAGTACCACAGCTACTTCCTAAAACATACAAGCGGTCAGCTTGACAATTAGAACAAAATGCACCGCAAAATATCTCTCTGTAAGTTTTATCGTACCCTACAATGTTTCTGCCTACATACGACCAGCTACTCGGTTTATTCATTGTAAACATCAAATGTCTGCTAAATGGATGACTGATTTGTTTTGTAAAACACAAAAACTAACTAGGGATGACTGACCATACCTTCAATGCTGGGCCCGTCCAACAAGTTTCTGCTGCTTGTAACCAGGATCTAGTGCTTTTGGCCATTTTCCACATTTCATGATCATAGGTGAGAGTTGAAATCTAGCCTCAGTTTTCCAAAATGCATTTTCAGCTCAACTTTGGGCAGACAAAGAACTACTCTGTCAACCCTTTGCTTCACGATCATCATGGAAAAGCAGGATACCTGAACTCCTTTGCTTGAGAAAGACACTGACCTGACCTGGATGGGTCAGTCATTTCTTTTTTCTAGTTCAGAACCACAATTAAGAGGACTGCCCATCGTTCTGTCCTTTTGTCACTCAGCTGCTAACATCCCAGGTCAAACCAAAAGTTCATCACTTGCAAACAAGAAAAGGTCATTTCACTGCAATAAAATGATAGTTTGCAGCACAATTAACAGGTGTTTTCCCCCATAAAATATCAGCCAACTTGTCCTGGCATCATATAACCTTGTTCCCATTAGAACCTCACCTGTAATGTTTTTACTTTAAACAGTAATTAATGAGAAATGTACCTTTCTTGACCTGCTGTGTCCCATAACTGTAGAACCACAGGTTTTCCATCTACTACCACAGTCCACTTGCAGGAATCAAGGCCTGCAAAAATATTTCAAGGTGATACAATTTGCTGCATTGACACATAATTGCTATGATCTGAAGTATGAGATCTTACCAACAGAGGCAGGAATGTCTAAAGAAAACTTCCCACTCTGAGCTCTTTTCATGAAAGAAGTCTTTCCGATGCAGCTCTCTCCAATCATCACCACGTTGTAGCTGTCTGATTTATCTGCGCCACTAGTGGCACCTGATAAGATGAGAAGGAGAGTCCCTTTCGGTCTGAATGCAAACTTCTGCTTCTTGTTTTATTGTGTGCAAGAATTGTGGGTATGTTTACCAAAAGAAAGCTGACTCCCACTCTCTTGATCCAACCGGATATTACGATGGACAAGTTTCTCTGGTGTCTTGTCCCTATGGAATAAAAACCTTGTAATTAAAGTTTGACATACACATCCCAGTATGAATTTGCAAGATTCTCGACTATTTACTATTTCTTGTTTTTACACAGAAGTAAAGTAACAATCCAAGGAGCACACCAAACCTTTCTATTATCAAATGGGAATCCAGAAATAAACACTTATCATTATGCTTTTCTGAAAAAAATTGGTTGCTATGCCTTCCAACTTAATTTATTTTATTGGTTTATTTGATGAGCCGCTGCTTTATAAAGAATAAAAGTTGGATTTTATGGAAAGAGTGGAAAATAAGACATTTGAAAATGTAAAGGAATTTGTAAATTCCTCTACAAATATCACAATTGGACAACTGACCAATTTTTCTCATCTTAAAAAAAATACATATTGACCTTTAAAACAAGAATAAAATTGGAAATATTACATAAATTAATACATAAATCTATTGCTGTATTCAAGCATTAACAAAAAAGACAAAAAAACAAAACATTAAGCAAATTTAACTGATGCAATTATTAAAATTTTAAAACAACCAGACCTACAGTTTTGCAACAGTCTGAAGGATTTTAGGCTATATGTAAAATTATCTCCTCTGCTCACTGTTACAGAACTACAGCATATTATGGAGACTTGGGTTTCCATAACAACCATTAGATGCTATTTGCAGTTTGCAGAAACCAGCCGTGCAAAAATAACGCAAACTTTAATGCAGTCTCAAATTAAATTAGGCTAAGCGTTCCTTGTTTTCAGGTTACACAAGTTAAGAACACTAAAGTTATTTATATTTGCTTAGTGTGAAAAACATGAGAAAATTAAATGCATTTTTACTATGTTTAAAATTTAGATGTTTATATGCATTGCATATATCTTACATACATTAAGATTACGCTGCATTTAACAGTTTGTAATGAGGCTTCAACACGTAAGGCTAACAGAGGCATCGTTTTCCAAACAATGTCTTCCATAAAACACACTGCTTAACTGTGTGCTATCTTTGGAAAATAGGAAAATATTAGTCATGATATCAAGAAGAGATTCATGAAGATCCATAACTTGGTTCGGAGATGGATGTGCTTTAGGTGTGAACTGTTCATATCAACCCCAAAACAAAAGCAAATGTCCTGGTGAAGAACCAGCTGAAGCTGGAGAGTGTTATCTGCAGTGAGATGAGTCCTGTAACAATGCTGTCTGAAAGGTCACACTGAGTGGAAGAAACTAGTTTGCAAATAGATACTGATGAATCTAAGTTTGAAGGATTTGGCTGCAATGACCATCATCATTTTTACTGTGGAAATACAAAATAACAAAGAAATGTATAAGTGATAAAAAAAAAAAATAAATAAATAAAAAAAAATCCCTAAATGCTTTTTATTTATTTGGCATTTAGGAAATTCAAAAAAGCAAGACAGCCAAAAGATTTTTAGCATTTTAAAATTTCAGTACGAGACTGAATTATATTTGTAAAATAAAAATAATAATAATTAAACAATTTAAGTCCCTCACTACACTGCATACTTGTTATTTCTTACTTTGTCTGTTTCACAGATGACCTGGGGTTTCTGAGCGATCAGAAAGGTGACACATAACTGAATTTGAAGAGCAAATGAGACAGAGAGAGTGGGAAGTGCAGTCTCTGCTCAGATGGACTAAATAAAGACCAAAATCTAGAAGTGATACTTTTATGCAGCTACACACAAATCAACCTTTCTGGACTTATTCAATGTTGCAAATGGAATAAATGAATGCATTTGCTTTTCATGAAATTAACAACAGATATTGAGTTTTCCCTGTGAAACTGGTGACTCTGCAGTTGAATGATGATTGTTATTGAGTTATGGTTTGTGTTACAAAGCAGTTCCAACAGCAGTTCATTACGACAGCTAGCTAGTCACGTATGTCCGAGATAACTGAGTTTATTATCTGTGCTTAATGCGAGTCCCAGAATTACCTCATAGATTTTGAAGACCCTGCAGCTCCTGAAATATCGGTGCTGGAAGATGGTTTCTGCCCATTTTCATCAACCTGCAGAAAAAAAAAAAAAAAAAAAAAAAAAAAAAAAAAAAAAATAAAAAAAAATTTTAATTTTTTCTTA